TAACAAATTATATTCGGACAGCCCGAAACGTTTCGAGTAGTTGGGAAAACGTTTTTTTATTAAATAATATAAAATAGTGTCTATGTATCTTTTAACCAAAATAGTAATGCGTACTTACTATTTCGAAAAATAATCACCCATACTAGTTATTTCCACAGTATCCTGAGCCTGTTCGTATATTTGAAAAAATAATTCGGTCAATTCTGCGTTAACCGACTCGTTAATTCCTTTGAAATGTGTTTGAGAATATTGTAACTGAAACGGCAAAAACTGTGACGAATCGTGCTTTAATACGTCGTAATCTTTTATCAAATCATAGACTATATTTCTTTCTTCTCCATGACACCATTGGGCTCCTAAATCTACCATACCATTCCCAAATTTTTTGCTGAAAACTCTTCCACCGATTCTATCTTGAGCTTCCAAAATGATAAAATTCGAAAAGTCATTTCGTAATAAACGGGTTGCTGTGGCAATACCGGCTGCTCCTGCACCCACTATTATTACTCCTGGCGATCTTGAATCTCTTGAAATGATACATAGAACTGAATAAGTCCGCAAAAAAAAGTTAAACAAGTACAAACTGAAACCGCGATAATGATAATGTTAACAAAAAAGTTGTTTATAACTTAAACACAGCTTTATAAAAATTTCCACATTAATATAAACTATAAGTAACTAATAAATATCGCAAAAATCTATGCTGTACAACAAATATTGTTCGCTTTAAATTGTTTTTAAAAAATTATATTTCCGAAATCGTTGTTTTTAATTAATAATTGCAAAGATAAACTAGAACTAAAAACAATCCATTTGTTATTAAACATTCTGTAAAATGAGTTGCATACGATGAGCATTAAATACTTTTGAAATATTTCAATCAAAATAAAACTACCATTACTGTTATTTAGTTTTTCGTAAAAATAATTACATCTAAAATATTACGAAATAACTAACTTGGTAAAATTATGTAAGCAATTAGGTTAATGGGCAATTTTTATTCGGATGTTTAATAGACAAATGTATATTGACGTTCTCTGCTTCACATAGTGACTGAAGAATATAAATATAGCATTGAATAAATCAAAATAGTAAAATACGTTGCTTACTCCATGTCCACGGTTCAATACTCCGCACACCGCACGCGCATCCGCGCACTATACGTCGCTTTCAACTTTTACTGTGATCAATACTCAATAGTTTTTTAAATTGTCCTTAACCATCTCATCTATAACCTAAGTTTTACCTCGTACAGGATTAGATACCCAAGTATCCACCGAAATTCCGTATTATTTTCTTTTTCAAACAGAGCTAGTATCTTAACTCCGATGTATTATGATAATATTAATGCAATTAGGTACTTAGCTGCCTGGCTATTTTTATATTACGATACAAGCAATTAAGTACATACAATACTAATTGTTTCAACCTTACAACTGTATATATGTATCTATTTATTATCGCATTTTATCATTTGACTCATAATGCGACATATGTTAGGTACCCTATCTATATCTGTGTTACGATGATTATTTTTTTAATTATTGTACTAATAAAAATTTGATGAATTTGCAATATTCTTGTGTTTTTGTATTACGCTAGTACTATTTATAGGTATTTCTAGAATTTCTTAATCCATACAATTACGATACAATCAATAATCTCGACTCGAGCATCATCTCTATTCGACACTTATTATTTTTTAGAAAATGGCGCATTTGGGAGAAGTAGATATATCAACAGAAATGTGATTTATTTGATAAACAAAAGTAAAATAATCCTTTTTTAATGGCAATTCTAAATCAGTAAGGATCCACTTCCTTCCTTCTGCCAAGATATATTTCAACGTACTTGATAATGCGGCTTCATAATTTCTATCAATTTATCTATTAAGAATGAAATAAATTTTATGTATTTAAAAAATCATACCTTTTCATACTAGCTGAGGAAACCGGGTAGTTATAAATCGGAAATTTACCTATAGCAATCTCCCAATATAAATCAAGACATAATTTATTTGAAAGACTATTCCCTAGAAGTTATTTAGCAATATACATATATTTTAAATACCAAAAAATGTTAGTTAAAGTTTCACTAAAAGTAGTAAACAATAAAGAATTATTGATATTTACTAATTAACGCTTGTAGTAGTGTTTTAATAACAAGATTTTTTATCAAACTAATGATCATTTAGAACTCACAATTATATAATATAGTTGTTGCAATTAGTTTATGACTTCTTTAAAAAATATTTATCAATAAACTCTGACCTACATCAGAATATATATTTTCACCCAATACTTATCCCATATTTTCCAAATGTAGAGCTTAGAGTTTCGTGTCAATTAAACCAAAAAATATGAAGTTATTATTACTTTTAACCACACTTTGCGTTTTCTTTTTTCAACACTATTGCGAAGCTGATCACCATAAGCTAGTAATAATAGGTGCAGGATCTTCAGGTATAGCAGCCGCTACGAGACTTCTGGAAAACGACTTTACCGATTTTATAATTCTGGAAGCCGAAAACAGAACAGGTGGACGAATATTTAGTGTTCCTTTTGGCAATGGAATTGTGGATTTGGGAGCGCAATTTTGTCAAGGAGAGAAGAATAATATTGTGTACGAAACCGTGAAGGACTTGGATGTGTTAAAACACCACGATAATGGTACATATGTAAACCTTTACACGAAATTTAAAATTGATAAAAATGTCACTGAAACAATAAATAACTTATTCGACTCAATATACGAAAATGTTGAAGACGATGTGAAAGAATCTTCACTACAAGAATATTTTGTTAAACGGTAAGATACTTTTGTGAAGAATTACTTACATAATAAAATAAACTTCGTCAATATATGGATTTCGAATTGAATTACTTATTAAAAATGAAGGTTTTTCTTATTTCCATTTATAAATCGGGTTTTACAGGGATTGCTTTCTGGTTATTACATAGATTAGCTAATTTTATTAGTACGTATTCCAGATGTTACATATTTTGTGAACGAAAAGTATAAATAATAGAGACAGCACTACTTACTTATTCTATTTTTACATAACTCTTGCGACTAGGATTTAAATAATTGGCCAACTAATTCCCTGGTTATTTTAGAAAAATGGAGTTCGATGAAAGATATAAAGAAAATTATTTTAGCGATTGCATATCTATTTTAGTATATCATGCACTTTACTATTATTATATAATTATTAGTTTCTTCAATGCTTTCTATTTTACCTTACGATGACTTCTGACATTGTCCTTTATATTTGTAGATTCACCAATGCCATTAACAAATTATATTCGGACAGCCCGAAACTGCTAGAGTTCGCTAAAGATTGTACCGATTTTTTTCTTGGTGCTATTTGTAGTATAGAAGGTGCTTTCAATGCTTCCGATATTTCACCACATGAAAGTTATGAAGAAATTCCTGGTGATCAGTACATGCATTGGAACGGAAAAGGATACAAAACATTCTTAGATGTACTCATGAAAAAGTATCCGAATCCAAACGAAAGTCTACCAATTGACGATAAAATTTTATTAAATAAAGAAGTCGCTAACGTAGACTGGCGAACTGAAAATTCAAACAGCTCAAAAGTTGCAATTAAATGTTCTAATGGGGAAACATACTATGCTGAACATGTTATTGTAACTGTTTCCCTTGGTGTTTTGAAAGAAAATCTCGAAACAATGTTCAATCCGCGACTACCAATTGAAAAGGTCCGAGCTATAGAAGACATTGGTTTTGGAGCAATTTCAGAAATACACCTTTGGTACGAGCACAGTTGGTGGCCGGAAAATTTAACTTTAATGAATTTCATTTGGACGGAACAAGAAAGGCGAACATTGCGAGATGTATGAACTAATTTTAATAATATCGCGTCTATTCTACAGTATATATATTAATCTTTTACAAAAATTACGCTTTCATAATTTCAGAATGGTCTCGAATGGTACTTAAATGTATTGAGCCTGGCACCGCAAATAGGAAATAGGAATGAACTATGCCTTTGGATCGCTGGAGACGATGTCCCTAAGATCGAACAACTACCAGACAGTGAAATTCTTTCCGGAATAACGTATATTTTCGATTTGTTTCTACGCAAGGATTATAATATTACACAACCTTCAAAAATTTTAAGGTAATAACGCTAAAAGTAGAAAATTGAGACTGTGGTAAAGAGACAAACTACGAAACATCCTAGTTATAAATAAACCCAACAGATTCTGTATCATAATATGAAATGCATTTAAGATTCTTTACGTAAATGGGAGTATCCATTCTATCTTTAATTTTCCAAGTCATATAAGTCAGGACGGAAGGAGTAAGGATATAAAGCAGAGTTTCAATAAAAAGAATTTACTTCTATGCTCGTGAACGATTAATTTAGAAATTCGGAAAAGATTGTTAAACGTGTATGTTTGGAGCGCGGCGTTTTACGGGTGCGAAACATGGACGGTGGGCGCTACGGAAAAGAAAATGTTAGAAAGCGTTCAAAATGTGGTGTTACCGGCGAATGACTGACGACCTTATGATGATGTTTATTGCATATTTCTGATAGGTATCTAAAATTGTAGGTCAAAATGGCACTCTCAGCCCCATTTCCGAGGATCCTATTCTTACCCTTCGATTAAAATGAATGCTAATAATACATTACGTGAAGATTTGGGCAACCCCCTATTATATCCTAACACTACCAAACCCATCGTTTTCTTTGCTGGAGAAGCTACAAATCCTCACCATTTTGCAACAGTTCATGGAGCTACCGAAACAGGATTCCGAGAAGCGGACAGAATCCTCAAATTGTATAAAACTCAATAATTTGTGTTGTTAGAATTTGCTCAAATTTAAATAAAGAATGATAAATACAGCTACAAACAGAATTATTTCACTTCAATTATGATTAGACTTATCTTAAAGTTTTGTTTTCAACTAACTTTAAGCTTTTTCTTAATATATATTATATATATTGTACATATTATTAACTACGTAGAAATGTGCAGATTTCGTTACTGACAATAAACTTTAAACAACAACAGAAAAGAGTTGATGATAACTTGGCTAAATAAACGAGCTTTTTAGCTTTTAAAAAGAAAGTTACATAATTTGTTTATCAAAAAATAGTGAAACGTAACAATAATATTTACATAATTTTTAAGGAAATCTCAATACTACTAAATATAATTTACCAACCCATTTATTGGGGTATCAACAATTCCGATAACCCTATTTGTATCTGTGAAGTCAAGGCAATTTTATTGCAAGTATCTATTAAAACATCGACTTTGTGTGTTGGATCAATTCATATTCAATTACAAACAATTGAAGGTATGTCTCACCAATCATTTACTAACGGAAGAGACATGAAAGCATTTATTAGATTTGCCACAGCCTGTGCATTATTTCTCGTACATTATTGTAAAGCCACTGATCAACATTCGGTAATAATAGTAGGCGCAGGATCATCTGGAATAGCCGCGGCTACGAAGCTTTTAGAAAACAATTTCACAGATTTTATAATCTTGGAAGCAGAAAACAGAATTGGTGGAAGAATATTTACCGTTCCGTTCGGTAATGGACTTGTGGATTTAGGAGCCCAATGGTGTCATGGACAAAAGGACAACATTGTTTACGAAATTGTAAAGGACCTGGATGTTTTAAAAGTCGATGATGTTAATTCAATCACCCATCTGTATACAAAATTCTCTGTAGACAAAAATACCAGTGATACCGTAAACAGATTATTTGAGTCAATTTACGAAAATATGGAAGAAGACCCAAACGCAGCTTCTCTTCACGACTATTTCGTCAAAAGGTTTGTAAGCAAAATAGATGTTGTTCTTTAAGTATTTAGTAACATACTATTACTAGCTTTGCCTGACAGTAACTTTTCAGAAAAATTACGATGAAAGAAAACGGGTAGAATCTACAAAATTTCAAACGATTCTTATTTTTCTTAAGTTTTGATGAAAGAACTTCATAAATATATATACCATTATTAATATTTATTACAAAACTAGGTTTTACACGGGGTTTCGCTTGCGTTGAAGATCATCGACGACCATATGAAGCTAATTTTTCTGTCCCTCGGGAACAGTATTTGTTTTCTGAATAAAAGATACCCTATGTCCTTTATTGTACCCTTGACAATGTATGCACAAAATTTCATTACAATTGGTGGAGTAGTTAAGGTGTGAAATGGTAGCAGACAAACAAACAAAATTGGTTACAGTGGATTTCATTTAATTCAATCCTTCGTTTGTAGATACAATAACAGTATTAATGAATTGTATTCTGACAAACCGGAGATTCTACAATATGCAAAAGACGCTACAAACTTATACCTCGGTGCAATATGTTCTCTGGAAAGTAGTTTTGACGTGTCTGACATTTCAACGCAAAGCGAATACCAAATATGCGAGGGAGATCAATCCCTACAATGGAATGGGAAAGGATACAAAATATTTTTGGATATATTAATGAAAAAGTATCCCAATCCGAACGAGAGTCTTCCCATCGATGATAAAATTTTATTAAACAAAGAAGTTACAAATATAAATTGGCAAAACAGTTTTCAACCAAATTCATCGAAATCCGAGGTGAAATGTTCAAATGGAGAAGTGTATTACGCGAATCACGTTATTGTAACGGTGTCTCTTGGCGTTTTGAAAGAAAATGGTAGCACTATGTTTACTCCAAAATTACCAAATGAAAAAATTAAAGCGATTGATGACATCGGTTTCGGAGCTGTTATGAAAATATATCTTTTGTATGAAGAAAAGTGGTGGCCGGAAAATTTGGGTTCTTTGAGTTTTGTTTGGTCTGAAGAAGAAAGAGAACGTTTAAAACATGTAAGAATCACCATTTAATCTTATAATTTATTACTCCAAGAAAATTCCCAAAATAAGTCTATCAAATTTATCCCAATCTACCACAATAACTGAAAGATTTATTCAAAACCACTCCGATATTTATTTCGTTCATTAGTAAATATCTTTGTATAAACTTGGGGTGGAGGGGTATTNTAAAATAAATGTTACCTATCACCAAACTTATTAATGATCTACTGGTTTTAATTTCATTTGGGGTATTACAAATTAAAGGTCTTTATCTGGTGTATCTTCTTATCGTATTGTAATTTCAGAATTAATGAACCGATTTTTAAACGTGTTGGATAATTGTGTTCCTAGAAGCAGCCTTTTTCAAGAACTCAAACACCTACCCTCCGATTTTTTCATAATTTGGATTATTTTATCCGATCTCCATGGAATGAAGTTTTCGCCACGATTGTTTATTTACTTTTTACAAAGACGATTTTTTATTTTGACAAAAAGATGTTTATATAAAAAAAGTACCCGAATGTCTTTCTTCCTGCCCAGATGCAATTCTGTCTCGGTAACCGTTGTGAAGTGCTAACATAAATTCCCTTTCGAAATCGTTAAAAGGTAAGCTTTTAAAATTAGGTCCGCATGTAGAAGTAGGACCACAGGGTTTGCGCCAACAAGCGGTGTTTGGAACCGAGGTTGTTGGACACTGATAATCAGATCTGCAGTAATAGTTATCCTCATAGGGCAACCTGCATCTTCCTTTTGTAGGATTAAGAAGTTTCTCTCTCACTTCTTCTAAACCACCATTGCATAATCTAAACTTTATTATTACGAATACGGCAAAAAGTACTAGTAAAAGTTTCATTTTTCATTTAACTGTTTTACAATAAGTTGACAACTTGAATGACTTATGCTATTGCCATACACAGTGGCGTACATGCCACTGTCCTTTTCTGCAAAATCAAAATCATATTTTAGTTGGTCAAAACTTTTTTAAAACGGAGTAAACATTTGTGTGATTCTATTCAATATTGGAAGCAATATAAACAAAATTTTAAGGAGTTCATAAGTTTCTGGTAACTTTGATAACATTTTGTGTTATATTGGCATAACAAATTTCATTCCTGCAAGTACCCCAAGTCACTTCTCTGATCTTTCAAGGTAAATAAACTATTTTGACAATTAAAACGGGTGACAAAGGTAAATAAGGAAACATATAGAATTATTTGTTGCTGAACTGAACAAACAATAACATAAAGATAGAAAAACTATATCTCAATCACTTCAAAGAGAAAAATATAATCGTACTCCATCTTCGCAGCTGGTGATACAATGCAAACACCACTATTAGTCTAAAAAAACTCCAGTATTTAAAAAACGAGAAAATGCCTGCAAGGTTTCCTTAAAAGATATTTTATACTTAAGTAAATGTAGACAATTAAGTAGCTACTACAAAAATGTATTTATTTGAAAAAAAACTTCTAAAAATCTATTTTGAAATGACAAATCAAAAAAGTATTTGCATTTTGTATTTAAAAACTTTTAAAAAACCATTTTGCACATTTCTACAGGTTTTCAGGGTTTATAAAGCGATAAAAATAATTTTGGCACTTTATTTTTGAAATACACTGTATCTTGTGCAAATAAAATTCATTTAATTAGTGATAGTAGTCTGTCAGCTTCTCGAAATCCTGTTTCAATTGCCCCATGGACTGTTCCGTAATAAACGGAATGAGTGGCTTCCCCAGCAAAGAGTACTACGGGCTTGCTATTATTGTCACAAATAGGTGCAGCTAACGTTTCGTTGATTAGAGTTCGACTGGTATGAGATTTTAATGATTGATAGGAGTAAGTGCCTCTAAAGTAGGGATTTGAACGCCATTTGGACCTAAAAAATTCCATCAGGTGACTGCACGGTGAGTGTCGCACCTATGGTGAAATACAAACCGTAAAATTTCACTAGGAGTCGTCGGTGTATACTTGTCGCCTAAAAATTTTTCAATAAGGAAATTTATTCCGGAAAGCACTTCTTCGTCCGTTTTCTGCTCTATACTTGGGACATTATCGTGTGAAACAAAAAAGCACAGGACATTCGGATTACTTTCCAAAATGAATAAATAGAAAATATCCATAATCCAAATATCTCCCTTCTAAAAACAATTTTGTATTTTGTACTTTGTCCAAGGTCCCAGTTAGGACGGAAAGGGAATAGTCGGGATATAAAGCAGAGGGTAGCGCAGGGTCGAATTGTCTTCAATAAACAGAAGACACTTCTATGCTCGCAAACGATTAATTTAGAAGTTCGAGAAATATTATTAAAGGTGCGAGCGACGCTGTACGGGTGCGAAACATGGACGGTGGGCGTGGCGGACGAGCAAAGGTTAGAAGCGTTCTAAATGTTGTGTTATAGGCGAATTATGAGGATACTGTGGATAGAGAAGATTCGAAATGAAGAGGTATTAAAAAGAATAGGAGAACAGAGCAATCTATGGAAGTCAATAGGTTGGTAGGACACCTTCTCAGGCATGAAGGTCCAGTCAGAGACAGAAACAGGAATTAAGAGTAGAACAAACAGAATAGCTCAAACCCCCAACGCCAAAACACGACACTGTAGCTGTCCGAAGCACTTTTCGGTAACAAAGTTACCTTCTTCAGGGACTGAAGTTTACTTGAAGTAGAAGACGTAAACTTCAGTCCCTGAAGAAGGTAACTTTGTTACCGAAAAGTGCTTCGGACAGCTACAGTGTCGTGTTTTGGCGTTGGGGTTTTGAGCTATTCTGTTTGTTCTACAACAACCGCCAAAGTTTTTCCAATGTTCATATTTAGGAATTAAGAGGAGTAGAGGTAGACCTAGATTACATTACTGTTCGCTATGGGTTGTTCTAGTTTTAGGGAAATGCGAAGATTAGTTCAGGATAGGAAGGAGTGGAGTTGCGTGTCCGACCAGTCTTAGGACTGACAACCTTATGATGTTGACTTTGTCCAACAAGGGCTAAGTTGGTATACTCAGTTCAAGTCCACTTACATTTCTCAAAACTTCACGATCTTCTTCACTCCATACAAAACCACAACCTTTGAAATTGTCAGACCACCATCGTTCTTCATATAATAAAAACACTTTCATAATTGCCCCAAAACCAATATCTTCAACGGCTCGTCTTTTGTCAATCGGTAAGGGAGGTGTAAACATTTCGTCAACCTTTGCCTTAAGTACCCCAACCGACGGCGTCACAACAACATACTGACCTCCATAAACACTTCCATCAGCACATTTAACTACAACTGATCCATCTTTGTTATCATTTCTCCATTGTATATTCTCGACTTCTTTTTCAAAGAGGATTTTGTCGCCGATGGGCAAAGGATTGTCAGGATTAGGAAATTTGTTCATTAACACGTCCAGAATGGTTTGGAAACCTTTACCGTTCCAAGTTAACATTTGGTCACCCTTGCACTCTTCGTAAGAGCAGCCTGTCGAAACGTCGTACACAGATAGAGTTCCTTCAAGGCTGGCTATCATGTGAAGAAAGAATACCTCGGCATTAAGCGCAAACTGCTTCAATGACTGATTGTCGTGGTATTTAGTCTCAACAGCCTCAACATAACTAAAACACGGAGGTTCTTGTGGATGATTTCAACTAACGTTTTAAGCAATGGAATAAATGCTCAAAATGAGGATCAAGGTTAAAAGCATTCAAGATGGCATTAAGTCTTAATCCTGATCATTGTTACTATCAGTACGTCACTTTCATTATCATTACAATATTCTTTAAAGTTTTTAAAAACCAACAAGGTTCTAATTTACAGTCAAAATTCTTTATTCACAGGGATACGTTCCATAATATGCCGCGAATACAGAAACCGTGGATATGGAATAGTAATTAGTATGGAATCATAGAGGATACGTTCTAAGGTTCCGAAATAAAACCAATATGTATCCAAATAAAATCAATGTAATGATAAATTCGCAATTCAAATTCAATTTAATCGTTATAAACACCTTGAGGCAAGAGTTTAAAAAATTTAATGATTTTTTCTTGTTTTGAATTTTGAAATTAGTCCACTCGGTAATTCAATTTAATCGTTATAAACACCTTGAGGCAAGAGTTTAAAAAATTTAATGATTTTTTCTTGTTTTGAATTTTGAAATTAGTCCNCAGCACTACTTACTTATTCTATTTTTACATAACTCTTGCGACTAGGATTTAAATAATTGGCCAACTAATTCCCTGGTTATTTTAGAAAAAAGGAGTTCGATGAAAGATATAAAGAAAATTATTTTAGCGATTGCATATCTATTTTAGTATATCATGCACTTTACAGTGTGAACTTTTGTCTGTTACCATACAAAAAATTAGATATTGATCTCGCAGCGTCAAATCACAATGTTTAGAATAGAAACCCATGTTTCCGTAAAATTCACACTAAGCACGAGCCGTCTATTGCGGTCAATCCCCCTAATAAATGACACCAAATCCTTTTCTGCGAATAATGAAATTTTTAACCGCGAATACAGGAGCAGGATTGCAATTTTTTTTACCTACAAAAAATGAAAACGCGAATAACGAAACCGTGAATAAGGAACTTTTACTGTATAGAGTTTTCACTAATACAGTCGTTTCGAGTAGTTGGGAAAACGTTTTTTTATTAAATAATATAAAATAGTGTCTATGTATCTTTTAACCAAAATAGTAATGCGTACTTACTATTTCGAAAAATAATCACCCATACTAGTTATTTCCACAGTATCCTGAGCCTGTTCGTATATTTGAAAAAATAATTCGGTCAATTCTGCGTTAACCGACTCGTTAATTCCTTTGAAATGTGTTTGAGAATATTGTAACTGAAACGGCAAAAACTGTGACGAATCGTGCTTTAATACGTCGTAATCTTTTATCAAATCATAGACTATATTTCTTTCTTCTCCATGACACCATTGGGCTCCTAAATCTACCATACCATTCCCAAATTTTTTGCTGAAAACTCTTCCACCGATTCTATCTTGAGCTTCCAAAATGATAAAATTCGAAAAGTCATTTCGTAATAAACGGGTTGCTGTGGCAATACCGGCTGCTCCTGCACCCACTATTATAACTCCTGGCGATCTTGAATCTCTTGAAATGATACATAGAACTGAATAAGTCCGCAAAAAAAAGTTAAACAAGTACAAACTGAAACCGCGATAATGATAATGTTAACAAAAAAGTTGTTTATAACTTAAACACAGCTTTATAAAAATTTCCACATTAATATAAACTGCAAGCAACTAATAAATATCGCAAAAATTTATGCTGTACAACAAATATTGTTCGCTTTAAATTGTTTTTAAAAAAATATATTTCCGAAATCGTTGTTTTCAATTAATAATTGCAAAAGATAAACTAGAACAAAAAACAATCCAATTGTTACTAAAGATTCTGTAAAATGGGTTGCATACGATGAGCATTAAATACTTTTGAAATATTTCAATCAAAATAAAACTACCATTACTGTTATTTAGTTTTTCGTAAAAATAATTACATCTAAAATATTACGAAATAACTAACTTGGTAAAATTATGTAAGCAATTAGGTTAATGGGCAATTTTTATTCGGATGTTTAATAGACAAATGTATATTGACGTTCTCTGCTTCACATAGTGACTGAAGAATATAAATATAGCATTGAATAAATCAAAATAGTAAAATACGTTGCTTACTCCATGTCCACGGTTCAATACTCCGCACACCGCACGCGCATCCGCGCACTATACGTCGCTTTCAACTTTTACTGTGATCAATACTCAATAGTTTTTTAAATTGTCCTTAACCATCTCATCTATAACCTAAGTTTTACCTCGTACAGGATTAGATACCCAAGTATCCACCGAAATTCCGTATTATTTTCTTTTTCAAACAGAGCTAGTATCTTAACTCCGATGTATTATGATAATATTAATGCAATTAGGTACTTAGCTGCCTGGCTATTTTTATATTACGATACAAGCAATTAAGTACATACAATACTAATTGTTTCAACCTTACAAC